GGGATTTGTATTTGGGCTCCCGGGATCTCGGCTTGTAATTATTTTTTAATAATAGTAATATATATATATATAATATTAATAATAATAATAATTTTAATAATAATAATAAAAACAAAAATAAAAAAATTAATGTTTACAAAACCCAACGCAGTTCTTGAACAGTTGTGCAAACTGGACAATCCAATCCTCCATACAAGTTCCCTTAGTAGCTCCAACACGACAGCCTGCATTACCATTATCAACAACATCATTCAATTCCTCTTCTCTATTGACCACCTCCTCTTTACCTATTCCTTCATAAGCCGGTTCCCTTTTTGGATTAGTTTTAACAATATAGAAGCGAAGCGTCCCACCAGCAACACTGGAAGATGATTCAGCCAACCTAAGTTCATCATTGGAAGTGATTGTAACCAAATCACCCTCTGGATCCCTGTATTTCACAAGGACACCCTTCAATCCAGGAAACCTATCTTGAGCAATATCCCTCAGCAACTTAGTATTACAATTCACCGATATTTGCGTCCTCCGAATATCCTCTCCGAACACCAGTTTCACCAGCTTCGTAATCGTTTTTTCTTCCACAACAGGATTCTTCTCTTCCTCAATTGTCTTTACAACAACCTCCTTATCATTAACTTTCTCAACACTAACCTTCTGCTCCACAATGACCTTTTCCTCAACCCTTTTCTCTTATTCAACCTTAACATCAGTCTTTTCATTTCTCTCAACATGTTTTCTTTTGTTGCTCTTCTTTTTCGCCTTCTCATTCACCACTTTACGCAACTGTGTCGCCCTGCTGACAGACTGTTCATTATCGAACAAACTGAGTTCATTTTCATTAACAGTAATCATTCATTTTCGTTTGGGGTGCTATTTAATATACATATAACATATATAATATATAATTTGAGAATATTTTTCGAAAATATATATAATATATAGTTTTAAAAACGATTTTTAAAAAAAATATAATATATGGTTTTAAAAGCATTTTTTAAATATATATATAATATATAGTTTTGAAAACATTTTTTTGAAAACATATATAATATATAGTTTTAAAAAAACATTTTGAAAATATATATAATATATAATTTTAAAAATACTTTTAAAAACATATATAATATATAATTTAAAAAACATTTTTGAAAACATATATAATAGGTAATTTTAAAAAACATTTTAAAAAAATATATATTATATAGTTTTGAAAAACATTTTTCGAAAACATAATATATAGTTTTTTCTTGAAATGTATATATATATATATATATATATATATATATATATATTAGAACACATTTTATATGATTTATTTATTTTTATTTTTTCTTCATTTTCTTCATTTTTTTTCTTTAGGTCCAAAATGTCTGAAGTTCGAGTCCAGCAGAAGCTCAATCGGGTAAAGAGCCTGATCCAGCCCTAACCCGATTAGGGTTTTATGTCTAGCAAAGGGTGCCGCACAAATAAGGGTCGTTGGATCTGGACCTTTGATCCAACGGCCAAGAAGCATCAGGAGCAGCACGTGAAGGTCACGCGCCAACGTGGTTACCAACCGGCTGAGATCCCCGGGACTGAACCATCCCGGGATGGTCGGTCGCACGAATGACCGAACAACCTGAAAATAACGGGAACAACCCGTTGAGGGCGAAAACAAAACATTGGCGGTGGGGATAAATACCTAATCAAATTTGTCAAACAAAGGATAACGGGAGGCAGCCAAGCAACACAGAAACATAGCGAAAAACCCAAGCATCACCGGAGCATCAAGCAACCACAATCAACAAAATCGAATCAAACACCAAAATATCACAGAAAAACCAGCAAAAAAAATCGAAACAACAACGCAAACCACTTGAAAATCGCAAGGAAAATTACAAAAAGAACGAAGGAGAAGATTTAGTCGTAGCTCGTCAGAAAGGAAAGGTCGTTGGATTTCGAAAGGAAACTGATTTAAAAGGTAACTACGATTTTGAGATCTTTTTTATAGAGACAATTTTTATAGATCAGAGGTAAGTAATTCGAATCGAATATTTAAATTTTAATGTTAATTTTCGTAATTAAGATAACCGAAAAATTAAAATGCACCGAAAGGGCAGTTAAAGGGTACTAATCATTCCTTGACTGTAACCGACTCCCGAATCCGACATATTTCTGGTAAAACGCAGACCAGGTAAAATGGTGTCCAATCAACCTAAGTAATTTTTTTAATAATCGGTGGCGACTTTAACATATTTTATTTAAGTCAAAGTCCAATTTTGAACCCACCCGAGGGACTGGTTGCGACAGTATCCAAAGCAGATAAATTATTGGGTTCAATTGTTAAAACATTACAAACATCCCTATAAGCTAAATCAAATCTATTCAAAGCTTCATAACACCTAACCCTTTTCAACAAGGCCTTGCTATATCTAGGAGAAACCTCTAGAGCCGAATTGCATTCATTAATGGCGCGTGGGTGCTCGCCGATACCCAATTGCATGTAACAAGCAGCCATGTTGCTGCGCAAATAGACGACATCGATGTGGTACCGGGGGTGGAGGTTAAAGGCTTTTTCGTACTTTAACATCGCGCCTTCGTGGTCGCGTTTTTGGAAGAGACGTTTACCTTCTTCTTTGAGCTCTTGAGACATGTTTATGAAGAACGCCGCGTCTTCGTCGACGGCCTTTGTCGTCCGGTGATCGCCGCATCCTCCCCCCGCGGCGGACTTGTTTTGCCTGTTGGCTTCCAACACTTTCTGGGCCGCTTCTTGAATCTTCTTCTTCCCCGTGGGCTTCCCCATTTTCTGGATTAAGAATTTCCCAATAAACAAAATTAACAAAGAGAAAACAATACAATAAAAGAAATTTTAAAGAACTTAACGCTAGTTTCAAAGGGAATTTGAACAAAACAAATGAATCAGATTTCTCATAATTTTCCCATTATTTGTATTATATGATAATTGTATCATACTGTTGTTATTGTAATTATTTATTTATTTTGTTTTCTGTCGGGATTTGGCTTTCTAAGGAAAGGTCAACGTTGTGTAGGGGAAATGGAAAAATTCACTTTCCTAGCGAGCGCGTTTAGTGAACGGCTCCATCTTGTGAAGCAGCCGTGTTGGCGTGTGGGTTTCTTACTTCGGAAAGCTGGGGACATGAAATTATATGTGGAATTAATGATTAAGTTTTCATAAATTATATTGATTTTATCGAATTATTTTTAAAATTTTCTTATAAAATTTTGAGTCAATAACACAAATTATCACTAAGCTATAATACGTTATTTTGTTAAGTCATTGATTATTAAAAATTATAAAATTATCTCTTAATTATAAATATCATTTTGTTGGATTCACCGACTATTAAAATTTATAAAATAGTCATCCAGTAATTCATATATTTCAAACTCGTCATTTTTCATTAAAAAATTAACGATCGTGTGAACTAGACGTAAATTTATTAACTGAAATATGATAAAATATGATTCTAGAAACGTTTGAGTTGTATTTTGTTGATCGATTTATTGTTTACATAATATCGTCGAGTCAATGCTTGAAAAAAAAGACAGTACTAGTAGACACCATTAAAGTATGATTTTATCATATCACAGTTAGCAGGTTAATGTTCAACTCAAACAGACATCAATTTCTTAACAAGAAATGACGATTTTGGAATATATGAATAATCGAATAATCATTTTGTAACTTTTAATATTTTATGAACTCAACAAAATAATATCATATAATCAGATGATCATTCATTAAATTTTAATAGTTGACGACTTAATAAAACAACAATCTATAATCAAGACAATTCTATATTTTACCCTTAACATTTTTATCCTTAAAAATTTTGCTGGAGTTATCATACTTCTTAATACCATTAAAAAAATAAAATTAATCAAAAGTCATGACATCAGCTCTTTATATATATTTTCTAATTTTCGATTGAGAATTATTAATTGCAGTAAAAATAAATTAAACATAATATAAAATATTAAAATAAAGGAATGGTAATTTTCATCTTTCAATTTTTACTTCAATTTATTCCTCATTAGTTAGTTTTCGGTAATTAGTGTTTTTTTTTAATTTATTCTTTGAATGATGTCCTTTTTTATATTTGGGTTTAATTTAGTTGTATTGCTTAAAATAAAAAGTTGTTATAAATTTTGATTTATTTTTTTTCAAATGTGCATAAAACATTTGAGATTTTTTCAATGGATTAAAAATAATGATGAAAATTTTAATTATGTTGATGAATTAAGTAATGAAATGTAAATGTTTGTCTAACAATATAGACATTTGAATTCAGAATTTTATATCTAGAATTCGATGAAGTACAAACATTAAAAAAACAAATTAACACGTCGCTAAAATAACAAAATTTAATCATGAAACGGTACTATATAAGGTTTTTTTTTAAACGTTTCGAGAATAATTTAAGTAGTAATAAAATTAGTCCTTTTAAGTAGTGATTTAGGGTTTAAGAACATACTATGGAGATATAAAAGCTTAAAGTGAGTTGAATTTGGGCTTTGTTTGATACATGTTATGCGTTGGTGACATGGCTCTAAAAATAACTCTGATTTCGTTTAGTAACAAACATCAATTTCATTTAACAACAAACTTTTTGGGAGATTGGTTCTTAGCCTGACAAAGCAAGTAGCTTCATCTCCACCTCTTCCTTTTGTGTAATAGAGAATTTTTAAAATTAATTAGTGAAATTAACCGACCTTTTTCCAATATGTAATAAAGTAAGAGGAAATATGATAGTAAGTTGACTCAACGCCATGTTGAGAAAAACTTCCATGGAGATCTTCAAATTATAAAATACCCTTAATGTGACTCGATCCCACAACCACAAGTTAATGAGTAAAATATTTATAAATATTAAATAAAAGCGATTAATTCTATAGTTTACCCTAAAATAAAATTAGTAATATCGAAGAAATTGGTCTTTAAAATTTGCAAATCTTACGAAATGATAATTTGACTAGAATTTATTGTTTAAAATCCAAAGTAAAATGTAGCCGAGGGTTAAAGACGCTCCAAAAGTAGAATAAATGGGCATCCTACGATTCGGCAAAATGGATTTGCGAAGGCATTATTTGTTTGAGAGGCCTCAATTCATTATTGTTCCCAACTCCCTGCTGGGACCTTCGCCACTCCATTACCATTTAGTTTCAACAACTATGAAATGTTGGAAATGGGACCCAAATAACATACCGACCCGAAAATGGAATCGACCCGGATTGTCCAATATCAACATCAATCTCCGAAGGCAAACTTGGATTATAGTGCATCGTTTTCGCACTCAAACCATAGGTCCTTCGTTTCTCCAACCACAAAATTGCTGTTTGAATTCAAATAAGTGAACAGAACAAGATAATAGATCTAAAGCGAAAGAAGAAGGGAAACGATGCTCAGTGAATACGAACCGGAAAAATAAAGGAATCATCTAGCGGATTTGTTATGAAACAAATCGCGCAATCGAATTTCCATTACAGGCGTTATCTTCATAGCATAGATCCCAACTTCTTAAAGATCCTAACTTCTTAAAGATGCCCAAAAAAAATTGACGGAAAAGAAAACGAAACAAATAAGCTGATTGAACGGTAAAACCCTAGACTGCGTGTTACTCTTTATAAAGAAGGAGCTGGATCTGGATTTGGGTTAACATAGAAGCCCACTAACTAAATATCCATTCACCGGTCCAGGCCACCTTTGTCGTGTTTTAAAATGGATTTTTTTTTATAAAAAATGAATTTATAATACTTTCGTATGAGTTGGTATGAATTTCCCCTCGCCTGAACTAGCAGGCGGTAAGCACAACATATGTATGCCTATGCTTACATGTACTATGGACATTTGACTTAAATTTAATAAATTTTATTATATATAATTTAATTTTTAAATTTAATTTTAAAAATAATTTAAGTTTAAGTTTAAGTTAATCAGATCATCAAGTTTTAATTTAAATTAAAAATATTTTGAACAACTCAAACTAAGATAATAGTATTATTATTCTTTATATATTTGAAAGTACTTATAATATTTTTTTCTCCGTCTTTTTTTTCAATTAAGTCTTATTTTAACTAATAAAAATAACACATATACATATATTGAATCAGATACAAGAATTTATCTAAAAAAATCAAAAAACGTTTCTAATAAGAATAGATATTTTTAAACTCGATATCTTTAAACTCGAATCTAATCAGATGATGAATAAAGTATTGTTGTAAGTAGATTAAACTCAGATGAATCATAAGCTCGATCGGACTCATGATCATATCTACACAAGGCTAGGCGTATGGACATTCAAATCAAGCGGATGGTAGGATATTACCTTAAAAGTAATTTTTATTCCAAGGTCAGTTTTTCAAAATTATTTTTAAACCACAACTGTTCTAAAAATGGGAAAACCCTAAACCCCCCCCCCCCCAAAAAAATAAACAATCATGCGAGCACATGTTGAGAGAACTAAAGTCTAAAACAATAACCAGTATGTGAAACCCGAAAACCTTGGAGTCAAGGCAAGTATATGCAGGCAAATATACAACATACAACGCCTCTTTAGCCCATCCACCTCAACTTTATAAACTCCTTTGTCATGATTTGCGACAGCTTCGGATCTCGACACATACCGATGACTAAACCGAAATGCTGATATACCCCCATTGGTTAATCGGGAAAGTAAGTAGATCACTGCTACCCCCACATGATTAAGTAACCGATAATGCCTCGACCAGCAGCTATTTTCCCAGCTACGGATCACAAGCACATTCTGTAGCTACGACATAAGTGCAGCTGATAACAGGTTCAACAGTTAAGACACCAGAAGCTCACTGGTTGAAGGAAATCCTATACGTGGAAGTCCATCATGATTTGACCTGCCCAATGGGGCTATCATTTGAACAGTTCCAGCAGCAAGATAAAAGTCCCGAGAGTCCTGACTCTACAGGTTGAGCAATATCCCTTTCTCGCTTGCGTAAAACTCGAACAAACTCATCTGAGCTTAAATGCCCATCGCGATTCGAATCAAACAAATGGAAAATGATCTCAACAATATTGTCTGTAAGAGATATGCCACAAACCTGTAAATGCATAGATCACCCAATCAGGATTGTTACCGCAAATGTATGGTATTCGGAATTGGCAATCATTGTGCATGGCAGATTATCAAAATTCAAACCAAACGGCAAAGTTTCTTACTAAAAAAATTCAAAAAGAATGTGAAAAAGGAAAATGATGGAACAAGGTAAGAATTTGAAATGAATTTTAAAATACATGTTAGAACACCTAAAGACTTACATGAGATGCTGCTCGTTTGAAGTCATCCTTTTTCAGTAGACCGTTAATTTCCCCATAACTAAAAAGTGCCAAAGAAAAAGGCTGCAACTTTCTACGCAGCTCAGCAAAATGTTTGAATTCGATCAAGTTGATTCGAATCTCCTTAAGATGTGGCATGTCATTTAATTCATCGACGGGCTCAAGCAGCCTATCTAAATGACTCAAATCAGCAGAAGCAACCATGGATAATGCAAAATCCTTGGCCGATATGGTTCCTCGTCCTTTGTAGTCATAATGATCAAACTCTAATCTTAGCATCTACAAAACATAACAAACATTAGTTTGAATGACAGTCATCAACGAGGAGAAAGAAAAAGGTAAAAATGTGAACCCCAAGATAGGAAAAGAAATTCGATGAAATTTCCCATGCATTACAAGCCTTGAACAAGTTTAATGATGCCTTTCAATCTGACAAAAAGACTCAGCTCCTTAAACTATAAAAAAACTAAGTACATAAAATGCTTCCGCCTCTTTTTTTCTCCATCTTAACACCTATCCTCATGCTATAACAAAATCCTCCAAGTTTGTCAAAGCTTGGTAGGCAACAGACTAATACTCTCCTGCCAAGAATATCTTAAAGCATCCACGATAATTGTATGTATTTTTTTCCTTCTCAAAGTTACACTAATATCAGTCACAGCGTAAGAGCTAAAGAAATATCATACATGAACATTAACGAAAATGATTACAGTTTTGTTAAGACTTGGAAGATGGGGCCTCACCTCATCCTGCAAATCTCTCATGAATTGAACAAATTTATCATGTTTGAGGCGTGCCTTTCCATCTTTTCCGAAGAAGTATTCCACGAGACCTCCATCCTCCACCTGACCAGTAAGTTTTAACGACCCAATGCGAAGTCCATCACAGTGGACTGCCCCTAGTCTGTTATTAGCTCGCATCAAAGCCATCACTTTCTTAAATTCCTCCTTATCAATCTCACTACATACAGACATTTATAGTCAATGACTTGCATGTAAAGATAAAATTGAAAATGAAGCAAACACCACTAGTTCATCATATTACCCATTGTTGTCTACATCAAACATTTTGAATGCTATGGAGAAGCTTGACTCGGGTATGCTGAGTAATGTTACAAAAAAGATATACCTGCTCCGAAAAAATGATTCAGGAGTTTGCATCATCCAAATAAAGAAGAAAAAGAATACCTAAGACTTGAGAGTATGTTTAGATGTGGGAGTGGGATATCAACCTCACTTACTCTCTGAAAGATATAAGTCCATCACTATTCATATCAAAAAGCATGAAAAACTCCGAAGGATCACAGCGTAACTCGCCAGGACTCCTTTCCCCGGTCAAATAACCATCTCTAACAAGGTGGGATTCAGATGGAGGAAAAACAGGAACAACAGCTCGCATCAGATCAGCTGGTCTCATGAGTAATTCCCCTTCCGGGGTTTGAAAAGAGGCAAAATACTCGAAAACCTGCAAGCATGAAGATACTATGACGACCAACCAAGGGATAAACATTAAAAAACAAAAATGTTCATAAAGATACCTTATGAAAACCAAATGAATGCTTGCAGTATACAGTAAATCATGAAGGCCGCCTCCCCCCCCCAAAAAAAATACTAGAACAATATAATCTGCTTCATTTATTTACAATGTAAAGACAATAAACCAATTATTCCACGCAAGTATTCAATCATTTACCTTTTCCGGTGGACTCCCCAATCTTAACCGTTTCTCATAGTTAAAGAAAACTTTCCTTCTATACACCTCTGCAATAGAAAAAATGAAAATGTACCAGCAAGTATTTTTCACTACTAATTAAAGCAAAAAAGGATTGAGAAACTTGACCAAGAGTAAAAACTAGTAACCTCCGAAGATGAACTTAGAGCTATAGTCTGGGAGGGCTAGTTTGCGAAAGACGCCTTTTGAACCATCGACGTTAGAATCGACGCTTTCCACTGACCATTCATCGAAAAACAAAAAGGGTTTTTTGAAAAGAGCAGAATCCCAATCCGTAGCTGAAGTTGAGTACCAGTAGAGTGTGCCTAAGCTGGAACCAACAACGACCCCGGAGACCCATTTTATGAAAGTTCTGGCAAAGGAACTATTTTTATCGTTGGGGTTGATATTTGAAGCTTCGGTAAGAGGCAAAGACGAGAAATGGCAGGTTTGGAGTCGTTGTCGGATGAAGAGCACCGACGACGATGTTCTTTTGAGAGAGGTTAAGGTGGGCATGGTTGGTGGATGTGATTTTTGCGGTGTTTACAAAGGCAGAGATGGAAAAGGAAGTGGTTTTTTCATAGATTCAAAGTAGAAAGTGGAAGATGCTGGGAAAGAGATGATTTGATCGAAGACTTTTTGGGATCTTTTGGATATCGATAAACAGGTACGGCAGAAGTTAATTATCAGTCGGGAGTGGGACACGAAGAAGATCCGAATCACAGCCGCCTAAAAACCCGACGACCCGAGGGGGTATTCGGGCCTCAACAGTCATTTTGTTGGGCTTTATCTTGTCTATTGTATGATTCAACGGGTGAGAAATTTTAACAAAATCAACATGTAATTAGGAGTTTTTATTGAACCCATTAGATGTTTTGAGTTTAAATTATTATACTTATAGAGTATGTGTACTTTATCGATAGTTAAGAAATATGTTAGACTAATACTATCTTATAATTATCTTATATTATACAAAAAAATACTTTTTATATGAGTTTAGCGATCTAAATAAACTTAACCCATTTAATAATAAAGTTATATTTATTAAATACTTAATACTACTTTATTTTTTATATTTATAATATGATAATCTTTTGATACCATCTTATAGTTACATCATATT